GATGAATAGACGGTAATATTAATAAATAGTTCCGACCAATTCGGGTAAACACTTTATTCGCTCAACTTTGTGAGCAAGGAGAATAAATAGGTTGCCTTAAAATCATGTTATAAGTTTTACCGTTTTAATTAAAGTAAAAATAAATTATATCTGAATCTAAATGATGGGGTGAGAAACTGTGTGATAAGAGAAAAGTGTGATTTACAAGATGATGTTGTGACCAGGATTAAGAAAGGGATGTTTCGGTGGTTTAGTCATTTAGAAATAGAAACAGAAACTTTTTTATTCAATGTAGATTATAAACAATACTTATTGAAAGTCACTTTTTTTCATTTACCACTGGTTCGCAAAAAAAACCTCTGTCCTGGGAAGAACCAGCAAGAAGCCCAGCGGGACTTTTTTTCAAATAATAGCTTACAATCATGTTTATAATTACAACACAAGACAAATTAGAAATAGCTTGGTAGCGATCACCCTTCCCAGGGGTTATTATCATCCATTAATTCCTTAATACTATAATAACTCTTTTTATACAAACTTAGTTTAATAAAATTTTTGAACTTCGTGTATGATAAATTTTGTATATTTTGAAAGTATTCAGAAGTATTTAAAAATAATGAACGAGGGGAAAGTGAAAAAACAAATTAATGTTAGAGTATAGTGAACGGCAAAATCGGAAAGGGACGCCTTAGCAAAGTTTATTAACCAAATTGGCGATATATTAAAGATGGGCCAGACTAAGAGTACCCTTAATCGACAAGCATACAAGGTTAGGTATATGGATGCAAAGAGGCGAGAGAGATATGCCAAATGGAAGTCCGTAGTCTCTGCCTACCTTTCTGGATGACAGGCGTGATTGTTTACGTTTGAAATAATGTAAAAACAAATACATAAATTAAAATGAAACGCGATAAAATCCGTAAAGGAGTTTTATTCAAAATACGTAAATCAATTAACTCTTCCAGAGAACCGAAACACAGCTGGTGGGATCCTGAGTCTTTTTTAAACAAATTTATATATTCATTTTAACTTTTATGGACAAAAACTATATATAGTAGGTATTAGCTTATCATCAGTCATCTTGCAACTTTCATAGAGAAGATATATGCCATAGTTATTACGCTTGGCAAACGTGGTATTTAGAGTTTTTTTTTAAATTAGAATGGAATATAATAGAATTATTTTTAATCAATATTGGTTACAATACTTATTGAAAGTCATTTAAGCTTTGCCACTTTTATAAATAATAAATAAATAAGCCTTTTATCTCTCATTTTTATGCCGTTTAACAATAAATATCTGTTTACATGTAACAATAATAATTAAAATAAAGAAAATATTAAAGTTTCAGTTAATTTTATGAGAACCCCTCTTGCAGTGTAAAGGCCTCCTCTATTTTTAATCATTGTTTTTTATCTTTCGCCTTTGTTTACCAGTCATCTCCTGCTATGTCTTTGATCCATCTTCTACGTGGCCTCCATCGTTTCCTTATACTCTTGGGCCCTTTCCACACCACGACACGACGCGTCCACCGAGCGTCCTCTATTCTAGCTAGATGTCCTGCATATTTCCAATTCAATTTCATCTAGTGGATTAAAAAATTAATTTATTTTGTTTTCTCTGTTATCTTGGTGTGGCGTACTTTAACTCTCCTTCGGAGTCCTGGGGTGGATCGTTCCATAGCAGCTTGACATATTCTGATTTTTTCTTTTGCCTGTTTTGTATACGTCCGAGTTTACGAACCATACAGCAGGGAAGGATGCAACTATCCATTATTTTCTTTTTCACAGTGAGCGGCATTTCTCTTGTGCTTCTTTCGTAATCTTTTATTATATTACAAGGGCTTACAATTATTAAATGTGTGAGATAGAGTCGAATGCTTTTTGGTAATCTACAAATGCTAAATAAAGAGGCTTTTCAAATTCCTTATATTTCTCAATCATATTCTCCAGAGTTTGAATGTGATCTACGGTCGAATATCCTCTACGAAAACCCGCTTGCTCTACCGGTTGGTTTCTATCATATTTTTGCAAATATTCTACTTAAAACACACTGTGAAAATGTTTGTAAAGACCATGTACTAAAATGTATTCTTAAAATTCACAAAATTACCATCCCAGATTATAACACTTTTTAGGGCGTTACTCACCGGCTACGGTCATCGGAGAGTTAAAAGACTCGAGTATCAAAAACCTCAGTTCCCAGGGTATTTTAAAGTGACAACTTGATATTTGGAGCTATCCGTATGAACTTTAGAAGGAAATAAACTACCTTTTGTCTGTATATGTATCTTTGAATTTTTGTTACAAGATCCAAAAATCTTAAGTAAGTTCTGTCGTTTCCTACCCCATTGTTAAAACAAAATTTGCTCGTACAAATTTCAATTCGCAATATCAATTATTGTATAAAAAATTAAATTAACACACACTACGCGCGCGCGCGCACACACACGCACGAAGCACGCACACACGCACGCACGCACGCAGGTACGCTCGCACGCACGCACGCACGCACGCACGGTCGCACGCACGCACACGCTCGCACGCACGCACGCACGCACGCACGCACGCAAGCACACACACACGCACGCACGCACACACGCACGCACACACACACACACACACACAAATTAAAAGGGTGAGATCCATATCTAACGCTGTAAATGAGACTTGAGTTATGAATAAATATTTTTGAATTTGAATTATAATATTGAATAAATAAGTTCATCACCGGTGTTAGCAGTATTCTTGGCAGCTGTAGTGCTTCATCAGGAACACCGTCTTATCCTGAGCTCTTGTCCGATTTTAGCCTCTTTATTTCTCTACCTATTTCAGTTTCAGTCCAATCGATAATCGTTTGATTTTGAGAGTAAAAATTTATGTTTTCTTAATTCCCAAGGTCTTTTTGGTTGTAGAGCTTTGCGTAGAATTTTGTTGCTATTTTGAGAATACTTTCTCTATTAGTTGATGAATTAGAGTTTTCTAGTAGGTTGTGTAACCAAGCTTTGTGTGAGCGAAGTTCTTTGTACGGGCGTTTGCAGCTTCCGCTAGTCAATATATACTTTTTTTATTACTATACTATATATAAATCAGTTCTTTATTTAACTTACATTTAAGGTTAACAACAATTACACACACTACTCAATAATAGCTTCCTCTTCTACACCATAGGTAAGAGTGTGTTCTATAATAATAATAATAATAATAACCGGGATGGCGACAAGCTCGACGTCTGTCGAGCTTGTCGCCATCCCGGTGAGTCACTTAGGCATGTCATCTCCGGTTGTTCGGCGCTTTCTAACTCTGAGTACTTGCACAGGCACAACCTAGTAGCCAGTAGTTCCCTTTCCCCTTAACCCTCGGCCGTTTGATCTCCCCTGCCGAGGGCTTCCATCTGGTTGGGCTTTTATTTATTTATGTATTATTTATTTATTTATGTTAGTATATTAAATATATATTTAAGTATATTTATTTTTCCCTTTATATATTTATCCAGCCCAACCAGATGTGATTACTCTATTAATAACCCAAATAATAATAATAAATATTTATTTCATTTCCAATTACACATGTTTACATACAGGAATAAATATGATTACAATTAAATAAAGTAACAATAAGTCTAACAAAAATAACATACTATGTTAAAATTAAAACTATGTGTAGCTTAATAATGTAGAATATACAAAAGAAAAATAAAACAGTCAAGTTTATAATATTAGCTACCTGCCTGAACTAGGTTGAGTACCTGTGTTTCAGACATCACTTACACAATGGGTTTAATAATGTAGGACACTAGATATTTAAATAATTAAACTATATTATAATATAATAAATAAAATAACTAAATAACAAAATAACAATTAATTGTTACCTACAATTAATACAAACTATTTTAGAATTTCTAACAACTTCTCTGTGTCTTCGTAATTTAATTTATTTAGAAATTCCCCTACATTACAGTTCTTATAACTTAGACTATATACCTTTAGTGACTTGTTGAGCTTGTTATATAGAAGAAAATTGTTATATATAAATTAGTAACAATGTAGGCCCCAGGATACTGCCCTGTGGGATTCCATAGGAGCTGTTTTGTAATTCAGTACTTGTATAGTCACCGATTTTTACACATTGAAAGCGATCACTGAGGTAATCAGAAAAAATTTGTAGTTGAGTTTCATTTATGCCAAGTGTTTCAAGCTTTTGCAATAGTATAGGGCAAGAAATAGTATCAAATGCTTTGGCAAGGTCTAAAAAGATCCCAATTGAGTGCATACCGTTGTCAAGATTACTTGTGACGTAATCTGTCAATTGGTGCAAGGCATCATTGCATGATCTCTTAGGCCTAAAACCAAATTGTCTGTCTGACAGCAAGTTGTTAGTTTCCAGGTATTTTATTAACCTGGTATTTATGATCTTTTCTAAAATTTTAGATAAGCCAGATAAGACTGAAATCGGCCTATAGTTACTAACTAAGCTTTTATCACCAGCTTTGTAAATAGGATAAACCACTGATCTTTTAAGCACTTTCGGGAAAATACCATTTGATAGACATAATTGAAAGATATGTGTTAGCGGGGCGGCCAGTAAATGTTTAAATCTTTTGAGTATGCGATTAGGTATATTGTCCCATCCAACTGCAGAATCTTCTTTTAAGCCAGATATTATACTAAAAATCTCATCAATATCGGTATTTAACAATACAAAAGAATTTAACTTATAAAATAATAATAATAATAATAATAATAATAATAATAATAATAATAACTAAATAACTAAATAATAGATAACGTAGGGAAGTGACGACCCCATCGCCCGCTGACGTAACAGTTATGTGACAAAACTACTACGTCGGCGCAGTCAGTCAGCGCCCTGCCAAGAGGTGTGAGCGCCGTGCCTAGGCAAAATTGTGGGTGCAAAGGTCCGTTTGTGCATAAGACCGAACCACGAAACGGTGCCGGGCTTGGGCGTCTCCCGTTATTTGGCGCCCATAAATGGATGATGGTACAAAGAGGAACGCGCATAGGGCCGCTGCCTGGGGGTCGCCGGGGCGCGTCTGGAGCTGGCGCTGGACGCGGCAGCATGCGGGCCGCCAGCCGAGCGCGAGGAGCTGTACGATCACCTAGCAGCCCTCCGCATCCATCATCCCCACCAGAAGGCTTGGTGTCGGCTGGGTCTTCTCGGACTCAGCAAGCGGCACCCGCCGCTGGTGGAGCACGTCGCATGCGTTGGTCACAAACAATGAACGCAAACGCACTGCGGGCGTACTTTAGGGCAAAAGGGGAAGAAACCGGATGTTTGGCATATCGGGCTCGGATGCATCGCTTTTTTGCAGAGCTGGAGCCATCTCTATCCGTCACTGAGCAAAACCTGGCAGACCGAGTTCGGTACATCCTGCGCTCCAACATATTTGGTGACGCCGAACTCGAACGACTACGACGTGAGGCTGTTCCCTCATCGGATGGAAATGCTACGGCTGGGAATGCGGCGCCACTAATTGCGCAGCAAACTGCAAATGTGGACGCTGCCGTCAATATTCCATTTGTAGTTGATTCAGACGATGATGGAATAGTCCCCCACGAACTAGAGAAAATGAGGAGCATATTGGAAGAGTCGATGCTGGAAACGCGCAGCCTGCCTCTCGAAAATCGACCGCGACTTCCCCCGCATACCCCTTAGCAAGCGAAATCGGGCTGTCGTGCGGGCTCTTAACCCAATGCTGGTGACCTATTTGGAAGCCAGCCGGGACCTTTGCGAGACGGACTCTATTCTTTTTGGCGCCGCACTGGCAGTATGCCGTATTATTGGCGCCAAACTTCCCATGGCTGGACGTGCTACTCAACAAGGTAGTGCCATCCCAGCCTGGAGAAAAAGAATCGAGGACCGTATCGCAAAGGCAAGGGCCCTTATCGGCAGACTGACAAGCTTCAGGTCGGGTAATATTAGACCGAGAGTTGTGCGCACCGTTAGAATGGCGTTTGCTGGGACAAATATTAGTTTGTCCCAGCCGGATATCACGCAGAAACTAACGGAGCGCATAGATGACCTGAAGCAAAAAATCGCTGCTTGGGGGAAGCGGATTCGACGATTTAGCGAGAGGTCAAGGCGGTTCAACCAAAATCGTCTCTTCCAGAGTGATCAGAAGAGGCTCTATAAATCATTAGAGCGACCAGAGGTATGTGGAGCGGGCCCAGGACCGGATCAGGCTGACACTGTCGCATTTTGGCGTGGCCTGTGGTCAGAGCCCGTAAACCACAGCGAGGGCCCTTGGATGGAAGTTGTGGCGAACCAGAGTACAAGTGTTACGCCTATGGACCCCGTCACCATAACGCCTGAAGACGTGGCTGAGGCGGTCCGTAGGGCCCCCGAACTGGAAAAGTCCGGGGCTCGACGGACTGCATCATTACTGGCTGAAGGGGTTCGTAGTGTGTCACGCTGTGCTCGCCCGACAGTATCAAGAGGCTCTCGATCAGAAGTCGCTCCCGAGCCTCTTCACTACTGGGATCACTCACTTGGTTCCTAAAGATCAGGATACCACAGACCCGAGCAAATACCGCCCCATCACGTGTCTACCCACTATATATAAGACACTGACATCCATTTTGAGCGCGAGAATCACTCGTCACCTGGAGCTAAATAAGGTGATGTCACGCGCTCAAAATGGATGTCGGGGCGGTGGTCGTGGAACCAAGGAACCACTCCTCATTGACGCGGTCATTGGCAAAGTGGTAAAACGCAACCGTCGGAACTTCTCCGCCGCCTGGATAGACTACAGAAAAGCATTCGACTCGGTGCCCCATGCATGGCTAAAGAGGGTCCTCGAGCTGTACAAGATTGACTGTACAGTTAGAGACTTCCTCGAGCAGTGTACGCGGCAGTGGAGTACGATCCTCTGTTATCAGGGCGAGCGGATGATGGCTGCGGAGAACCACATAAGGATAAGAAGGGGTATCTTCCAGGGCGATTGTCTGAGTCCAATCTGGTTCTGCCTCCCTCTGAACCCTCTCAGTACCTTACTGGGGGGCTCCGGGAGAGGATTTCAGCTACGGAAAGGAGGAACAAAAGTGACCCACCTTTTCTATATGGATGACCTCAAGTTATTCGCCTCCAGTCGCTCCCATCTTATGGAATTGCTAAACATCACTTGTGAATTTAGCAATTCCATTGGAATGGAGCTGGGGACGGATAAGTGTGCGGTCCTTCATGTTGAAAGGGGAAGGGTTGCTAACTCTGAGGGCATAGATTTATCTATGCCCGTCAACTTAAAGACCCTTTCCGAGGCTGAAACATACCGATACCTGGGTATGTCACAGAACATCGGTATCGATGAGGCTGGTGTGAAACAGTCAGTTTGCGACGTGTTTTATGCACGCTTGACCAAAGTGCTTAACAGCCTTTTGTCCGGTGTGAATAAGACACACGCATATAACGGTTGGGTCATGCCTGTCCTCATATATACCTTTGGCATACTCAGGTGGATTCAGACCGAACTTAACGCCCTGGATAGAAAAGTCCGCACTACCATGACGTCCCATAGGATGCATCATCCGAGATCGTCGGTAATGAGGCTGTACTTGCCGCGAAAGCATGGTGGGCGTGGTTTTATGAGCGCGCTCACCATGCATAATCGCGAAGTGTGCAGCCTCCGTGATTACTTCCTGGCGAGATCGGATGATCCATTCTATAATGACGTCATTTCTAGTGATAAAGGGCTTACCCCTCTATCCTTAGCCCACGAGCAATGGCAGGACCCAGCAGTGCTTAGCATTTCCGACCGGGAGACCGTATGGAAGGAGAAGGAGCTCCACGGGAGGTACTACAGGGCTCTTCATGAGCCCTTCGTAGATAGAGTCGCCTCCCTCAACTGGCTACGTTTCGGTGACCTCTTCGGGGGAAACCGAGGGTTTTGTCTGTGCAATACAGGATCAGGTTATTAAGACCAACAACTATCGGAGATACATCCTAAAGGATGGCACCGTCGACGTCTGTCGAGCTTGTCGCCATCCCGGTGAATCACTTAGGCATGTTATCTCCGGTTGTTCGGCGCTTTCTAACTCTGAGTACTTGCACAGGCACAACCTAGTAGCCAGAATTCTACACCAGGAGCTCGCTCTGAAATATGGTCTCGTGGACCGGAAATTGCCGTATTACAAGTACTTGCCGGAAGCCGTGCTCGAAAATGACCGCGCCAGGCTCTACTGGGACCGGGCCATCATCACAGACAGGACTATTCTTGCGAATAAGCCTGATATTGTGCTGATGGACCGGGCACAGTCAAGGATATTTTTGGTCGACATTACCATTCCGTATGACGAGAACCTCGTGAAAGCCGAAACAGACAAGCAAACAAAATATCTGGACCTGGCTCACGAGGTGACCGACATGTGGGGTGGTCTGCCGACCGAAATTATTCCTGTAGTCGTCTCTGCAAACGGGCTAATCCCAGTCAGCCTCTCGGGTCATCTGAGGCGACTGGGACTACGTGGCGGACCGCTCCGGGCTCAAATTCAGAAGGCGGTGCTCCTCGATACCGCCCGCATCGTCCGCCGGTTTCTTTCCCTTTCCCCCCTAACCCTCGGCCGTTTGGTCTCCCCTGCCGAGGGCCTCCATCTGGTTGGGCTTTTATTTATTTAAGTATTTTTATATTTATTTTATGTTATTGATATTTATGTATATTTATCTTTTCATTCTCATTTATAATTATATATTTATAGAACCCAACCAGATGAGAAAACTATATAGATACCCCACAATAATAATAATAATAAAATAGCCAAACTTCCCGTGGCTGGACGTGCTACTCAAAAAAGTAGCGCCGTCCCAGCCTGGAGAAAAAGAATTGAGGACCGTATCGCAAAGGCAAGGGCCCTTAGCGGCAGACTGACAAGCTTCAGGTCGGGTAATAATAGACCGAGGATTATGCGCACTGTTAGGATGGCGTTTGCTGGGACAAATATCAGTTTGTTCCAGCCGGATATCACGCAAAAACTAACGGAGCGCATAGATGACCTGAAGCAAAAAATCGCTGCTTGGGGGAAGCGGATTCGACGATTTAGCGAGAGGTCAAGGCGGTTCAACCAGAATCGTCTCTTCCAGAGTGATCAGAAGAGGCTCTATAAATCATTGGAGCGACCAGAGGTATGTGGAGCGGGCCCAGGACCGGATCAGGCTGACACTGTCGCATTTTGGCGTGGCCTGTGGTCAGAGCCCGTAAACCACAGCGAGGGCCCTTGGATGGAAGTTGTGGCGAGCCAGAGTGCAAGTGTTACGCCTATGGACCCCGTCACCATAACGCCTGAAGACGTGGCTGAGGCGGTCCGTAGGGCCCCGAACTGGAAAAGTCCGGGGCTCGACGAGCTGCATCATTACTGGCTTAAGGGGTTCGTAGTTTGTCACGCTGTGCTCGCCCGACAGTTTCAAGAGGCTCTTCCGAGCCTCTTCACTACTAGGATCACTCATTTGGTTCCTAAAGATCAGGATACCACAGACCCGAGCAAATACCGCCCCATCACGTGTCTACCCACCATATATAAGACACTGACATCCATTTTGAGCGCGAGAATCACTCGTCACCTGGAGCTAAACCAGGTGATGTCACGCGCTCAAAATGGATGCCGGGGCGATGGTCGTGGAACCAAGGAACCACTCCTCATTGACGCGGTCATTGGCAAAGTTGTGAAACGCAACCGTCGGAATTTCTCCGCCGCCTGGATATACTACAGAAAGGCATTCGACTCGATGCCCCATACATGGCTAAAGAGAGTCCTCCAGCTGTACAAAATTAACTGTGCAGTTGGAGACTTCCTCGAGCAGTGTATGGGGCAATGGAGTACGATCCTTTGCTATCTGGGCGAGCGGATGATGGCTGCGGAGAACCACATAAGGATAAGAAGGGGTATATTCCAGGGCGATTGTCTGAGTCCAATCTGGTTTTGCTTCTCCCTGAACCCTCTCAGTACTTTACTGGAGGGCTCCGGGAGGGGATTTCAGCTTCGGAAAGGAGGTACAAAGGTGACCCACCTTTTCTATATGGATGGCCTCAAGTTATTCGCCTCCAGTCGCTCCCATCTTATGGAATTGCTAAACATCACTTGTGAATTTAGCAATTCTATTGGAATGAAGCTGGGAACGGATAAGTGTGCGGTCCTCCATGTTGAAAGGGGGAGGGTTGCTAACTCTGAGGGCGTAGACTTATCTATGCCCGTCAACTTAAGGACCCTTTCCGAGGCTGAAACATACCGATACCTGGATATGTCACAGAACATCGGTATCGATGAGGCTGGTATGAAACAGTCAGTTTGCGACGTGTTTTTTGCACGCTTGACCAAAGTGCTTAACAGCCTTTTGTCCGGTGTAAATAAGACACACGCATATAACGGCTGGGTCACGCCTGTCCTCATGTATACCTTTGGCATACTCAGGTGGACTCAGACTGAACTTAACGCCCTGGATAGAAAAGTCCGCACTACCATGACGTCTCACAGGATGCATCATCCGAGATCGTCGGTAATGAGGCTGTACTTGCCGCGAAAGCATGGTGGGCGTGGCTTCTTGAGCGCGCTCACCATGCATAATCGCGAAGTGTGCAGCCTCCGTAATTACTTCCTGGCGAGATCGGATGATCCATTCTATAAGGACGTAATTTCTAGTGATAAAGGACTTACCCCTCTATCCTTAGC